TGGCCGACAGGCTTACCCTGGTGCAGGGGGAAAGGCGGGAACCGGTCCCTGGGCAGCAGGTTGCAGTAGGCGATCTGGTGGCCGTAGGCGGGGCCCGGCACCCGTGCCACTGTGAGGATCCCCCTGCCGTAGTCACAAGCCATCTCCATGCCGCTGAGGCTGGGCAGGCTGCCCGAGATTTGCAGGATCATGCCCTGGGGATGACCGGCCCTTACTCCAGGGGCCAGACCACTCCCCTCCCAGCCCTGCCCAACCCCCCGGCTGAGAAGGACCCAGGTCTGCCCCAGTGTCCGCCCACAGCCAGGACTCAAGGCCAGACTGTGGTTCTCCACAACGTGACTCTCTGGGCCCCTCTCCCAATCTGCAGCTCCCCCCCATCTGCCCCTGTGACCTCAGTGACTCCAGTGACCCCTCCCCTAACACTTGCCCAACACGCTGACCTCGGCCCCCCTCGGGGTCTCCGCACTGCCCTCCTTCCTGTGTTTACTTAAAGGTCACCACCCGCCCGACCTGGCTGTGTCGTAGGCAGCCCTCACTCATCCCGATGCCCTGCTCGGCCTCTCCGACCCCCAGTACTCGCTGCCTCCCTGTCTCTCCCTAGAATAGGCCAGGTGTCGAGGGCCAGCGGCCTGTCTTCCTCACTGACCCGGCCCAGAGCCTCCAGTTGCGCTTGGCGCACAGTAGGTGCTCAGTAACGTGTCTGCTCGAGGGGACACCAGGAGGGAGGGACGCTGTGGTACCTGACCATGGCGGAATGGAAGGGTGGGGGGACACAGAGCCCCAGGGCTGAGCAGCCTGGAGCCCCCCTCCCCACCAGCCAGTGCTGTCTGCTCTAGCTCCCCAGGTACGAGTCACTGGCCCCCGCCCCCGTGTGGGCTCGCCAGCCCCGCCTGCCACTGAGCTCTGTGTGCTGAGGCCGGGAGAGGGGCATGCTTGCTCTCCACCCCACCTCCAACCCGCCCTCCTCCTGGGACTCCACCCGCCTGCCGAGTTCAAAGCCCAGCTCCCTAGCTGTGTGGCCCTAAGCAAGTCCTCTGCCTCTCTGTGCCGTCTGCGCTTGTGTGAAAAGGGAGAGTTCAGAGCAGGCTACAGGCGCTCAGCCGATCCCAGTCACTGCCCCATCTTGCTGAGACTGGGGCAGGGGTCCTGCCACCGGGGCTGGGTGGAGGGAGGCTCCGGGGTGGACCCGGCTCCCAGCACTCACGGGGTACTCCCGGTGCACGTCGATCTCTGCAGGCAGGACGGTCATGGCTGGGCAGCGGCCCGGGCCCTCGCTGGTGCTGGTCCAGAAGTGTCGCTGGCTGGAGTTGGCACAGTCCTGCTGCAACGCGCACCTGCGGCGACCTGCAGGGTCAGGGGCGCCAGCGCGCCGCCAGCGCCAGCCCAGCCCGGCCCAGCCCTGCCAGGGGGCCTCACCGTGTCTCCAGGGCGCACCAGCCGCAGTAGGCGTCGGCCGCGCCCACGCAGTCCTCGCAGGTGGAGTACACGTCACACGCCGCCACCCTCACCCTGGCCATCTGGAGACGGAGGGGGTCCTGCTCAGTGGGCTGCCGTCCCTCCCTCGGGGAGGTGGGGAGGCAGAGGGCGAGGGCCCACAGGCTGGGGAAACTGAGGCAGGGTGGGCCGGGGAGGTGCGGACGGGACAGAGGGCGTGTGCGAGGGCCAGGAGAGCGTGAGGGCTGGGCCGGGCCTGGGCCCCAGCCTACCTGGTGGGTCGTCATCAGATACAAGTACCCCGGGTCCGCAGGGTCGAACTGCATCACGTGGTGCACGGGCTCCCCGTAGGCCGCCGTCACCCCACGCCTGCTCACCACCTGCATGCTCTCGTTCAGGCTGATCTGCGGGAGGGCGGCCGTCAGGGAGAGTCCCCGCACGGCACGGCGGCCACCGGACTCTGTCTCAGCCCTCCGCGGCCCTGGGAGCTCGCTCCTGCACCTGCACCTGCACCTGCGGGAGGGTGGGGCCCGGCGCTCCGCCCCCGCCCGGCGGCCACGCCCACCCGAGCCCTGCCCCACCGGGCTCCTCCCACCGCGGCTAGGCGGGCTCTCCGGTTACCAGTCCCCCGGAAGGGCAGGGCTGCGCTTCCACTCTGGTCCCCCACTTGGGAGCAGGACTGGGACAAGCCCTTCCCCCCTAGCCTGTCTCCCTGAGCCTCAGTGTCCCCCAGTCTGTCCCCCCCAGCAGTTGGGGCGGATCACAGTCCCTGCCCCTCGAGGCTGTGGTGGGCATGACTTGAAGACACTGGTCAGGCCCCCTCCGCACATACGGACATACACACAGACACACAGACACACACAGAAACACAGACACACACAGACACACAGACACACACAGACACACAGACATACAGACACACACAGACACACACAGAGACAGACACACACACAGACACACACAGACATACAGACACACACACAGACACACACAGACACACACACAGACACACACAGACATACAGACACACAGACAGACACACAGATACACAGACAGACACACAGACACAGACAAACAGACACACACAGACACACACACACAGACACACACACAGAGACAGACACACACACAGACACACAGACACACAGACAGACACACAGACACATACAGACACACACACACAGACACACAGACACACAGACAGACACACAGACACACACAGACATACAGACACACACAGACATACACACAGACACACACACACAGACACACAGACACAGACACACACACAGAAACACACACAGAAACACACAGACACACACAGAAGCGCACACACACAGAAGCGTGAACACACACACACAGACGCACACACACAGCCTCTTGCCCCCGCTTCACACACGAGGACACAGGCCGGAGCCATACAAAGCTCCTGCCCCGGCGCCCCCTCCTGCTACAGGACAACCCACTCAGCCTGGAGGACCCGACTGTCCGCCTGACCCCAGCCGCGCTCCACCCCCTCCACCCAGCTCGCACAGGCCGGCCTCCAGGCCTTTGCCTGCTACACCATCTTCTGGAACATTCCTCCCGCCCTCCACTAATGTGCAAACGCGGCCCAGATGCCCTCCGACACCGGTCCAAACCGCTCTCCCCAGGCAGGCTCGTCCCAGCCTGGGACCTCCCCTTCCCAGGCGGCCTCTTTTTAAATTGATTTCTTCCATGAGCAAGAGAACAGAGCGAGCATGCCAGCACCCCAGCAGCGCCCCGACGCCCTGTCCACCCCAGCTGCAGCAAGCCCGGGGCCCACTGAGCCGGGTAGGGGAGGGGTCTCCAGACTTGAACCAGGAACCTTCCTGTGGGGAGCTGCCTTGGCCAAGCCTGGCTCAGCCCACTCCGCCACCCCCAGACACTCATTCCCCCCACTTCCTCAGTGCCTATAAAGCACCCTGTCCGGGGCCCTGGTGAGATTTAAGCAGGATGGGGCAATGAGGTTCCTGGGCTGGCCGGACCTGAATCAACCCTGCCTGTGACAGGTGCCCCGGGGTGGTCATGTCCCCCTCAGAACCTCAGAGTCCTCACGTATAGGTGGGGACTGCGTGGCCCCTTGTGTGGGTGTGGGAAGTGGACTAGATGGTGTCTGTGGCTTCGAGGCACCGGGCAGACACGGGGTTAATGCCCGCAGCTTCACGGGCAGAGGCTGGAGGAGACTGCTCGCTGTCCCAGAAGGCCGGGCTCAGTTTCCCCAAGACAGACGAGGAAAAGCAAGGCTCTGAGTTGAGGGGTGACTAGCCAGGGTACACAGCTGCCCCGGGGGGAGCCAGGATCCAAGTCCGAGTATCTGACCCCGTCGGGAGCCCCCTCAACCTCGGACCTCGCAACGGGGATTCAGAGGCCAAGGAGGACACACCCCAAGCCCCCCCTCTCTGCTCTCCTCATCCCTGCTAGCAGGTCCTGGGGCTCTGATCCCCACACAGCCCAACTGAGGGGTCTGCCAGGCAGCTGGCTTCCTGACAGGGAGCCCAGGGGCAGGGGCAGCCATCCACCTGGGGAACAGGCCAGCACCCCCCACCATCCGGCCTTAGAGCGGCGATACCAGATAATTAACCCCAAAGACCTCACCTCTGCTAGGTGGCCCGGAGGTGGGGGAGTGGCCCTACTTGCCAGCGTGGGGGAAGGCCTTCCGCCATCAGCCCTTGGCGGACGGGAAACCAAGGGCGAGAGAGGACCAGCCTTGCCCAAGGTCAAACCGAGGGCAGGGTGGGACCAGCAGTTAGTGTAATGGTTACATCGCTGGACTCCCATGTAGCCGACCGTGGTTCGAGTCCTAGGCACGTGTGCGTGCGTGCCCAAGATCCCGAGAGGAGAATGGAGAAGGGATTGCGGAGTGGTCATCCCCCCGGGGGGTGATTTCTCGCTTTCTGTCTCTCTGTCTCTGTCTTCCTAGCAAGCGCACGCGCCCTATAGCGAACACCTCCAGGGCGGGGACAGCAGGCAGGGCAGAGCCCAGAGACCAGAACTCAGAGGCATCTGGCTTCAAAACCCCGGGCACAGAGGCCCTGAGACAAAGGCTGTCCCCTCTGCTCTGGGCACTAGTGGGAAACTAGCTAGGGGCGATGCAGTGTGAAGTGTAGGGGGGTGGGGCGTGGAGACTTGGATCGACTGCCCCACCCTACCTTGAGAAGTCTCCCGCTGGCCGTGCCCAGGAAGACGGCCGTGTAGTTGTTGACGCTGGCCACGGCCACAGAGGTGAGGCCTGGCGCCCGGAACACAGGGGTGGCCTTCAGGGGCCTCAGGATGGACAGCGGGTGCTGCAGGTGGGCCGCCCCGCAGTCCAGCTGTTCCGGCTGCAGCTGCAAGAGAAAGGGCCCGTCAGACCATGGTCCAGAACCTTCCTCAGCACCCTGCCACACAGCCGGCTGCTGCCTGGGACCTCAGCACCAGATCTTTGGGCCCTGGGTCAAGACCCAAGCTCATAGAGGCCCTGGCCCCAAGCCTAGGCCTGGCCCTGATCTCCGCTTTAGCCAGGAGCTCCCCACAGGAAGATTTAAAGGAACACGGGAGGGGCCAGCAGATGGCATAGCAGTTATGTCGCTGGACTCCTGCATGCCCTACTGCAGTTCGAGTCCTGGATCTAGTAACTTAAAACTCATGCCATGCATGTGTGTGTGTGTGCCCAAGATCCTGGGAGGAGAAGGGATTGTGGCATGGCTATCCCCCCAGGGGGTGAGTTCTCACTTTCTCTCTCACAGTCTCTGTCTCTCTCTGGCGAGCACGCATGCCCTAAGGCAAAATCCTCTACAAAACCTCACCCTGGTGAGGGGCGTGGTTGGCTGTGACTTCTAACAGGCCGAGGAGGTTGGGGTGACTCTGCCCTTGCAGCTAGGCCTCTGGCTGGGGGCAGTCCACACCAGACCCCAGAGCCATCGTTGGCCTCCAAATACCTGCCTGGGCCCAAAGCAGTCCCTCCAGCCTGGGGGCTCTCTGTCTCCCTGCCCCTGGGCCTCCTCCTCCATGCCCCGGCTCTGACCCCCCGCCCACCAGCTTGATGCCCTCTCCCATCTTCAATCACGCACACCCTCAGCTGTCCACACCGCAGCTGGGCAGAACGGGGCCAGGCATATCTGAATGCACCGTGCTGTGTCCCTGCGGAGGCAAACGTCGCCCCTCCCGAGGCAAACGTCGCCCCTCCCAGGAGCCCGGCGCTGCAGGAAGGGCCTCGTCCCAAGCCATTTCCTGAATTTGGTCCTGCTGGTCCCAAAGGGCCTCCAGGAAGCGCCTCTGACGACCACTGCAAATCGGGGACCGTGCAGGCGTCAGGGGGTGAGAGGAGAGGACCATGGGCGCGACCCTGCGTCCGATGGGACCGAGCACACGCATTATGGCTCGTTACCCAGGACAGCAACCCCCTCCCTCAGGGACGTCAAAATCCGTATCAATTGTGAGAAAGGTCGCAGGATGTCAGGGCACCACTGGGGAGGACGGTGCCCCCC